TTTTTAACATTTTCTAATGGTGGTGTGCCTCGTGATTTTTTTCATGAAAAAAGTGTGCCTTTGCACAAAAAAGGTTGAAAAACACTGCTCTACACCTTCCCCCATCCCAGCCTCTTCACTCCAGGCTGTGTCAGCCCTGAAGCCATGAGAAAAGAAACCTTGTCAGTGTAAGAGAGAATTCATGAACTGGAATAAGGCTTAGTAACAAGGTCAGCCAATGAGGGCTGCTTGGAAACGGAAACAGTATTTTCGGTGTGAGCAACAATGAGACAGCACGGAGCCTGGGTGTGGCTTAGCTCTCTAACTCTGGGTCTGTGCAGAGCTCAAAACTAGTCTGCTGCTCTGAACTGAAACTGTTCTCTGCTTGTGTTTTGCTTTTATTTACTACCATGTTGGAAAACCTCCCTTTGGTATTTTATATTTACTTCATGTGTTAAATTATATATAAAGAGAAGTTAATGAATCCTGCTGAATCAGTTACTGTGTGTGCTTTCTGGATGTGATTGCTGCAACAAACTCTGGCAAACCTCCCTAGAAACTACACAAAAATAAAATGGCCACAGTTCAGCCAACTCAGGTTTGACACTGGGACACTGACACAATCCTTACCAAGCCCAAACTTGCTTAGCTTCTGAATCTAATCGAAAATGACTATCAAAAAGGCTTAACATGTTGTAAATGTAGTCTTAAGGAAAAACTCGATTGGGGAGGAAGAATTGGATGGAGTCAAATAGAACATCTGCTTATAAAGCTTGTCATCTATTAAATTCAGCAGCAGAGAACCACTTGGTAAGAGAGGCTATTGAATGTAGATAGCCTGGTCTTTTTGCTTGGTCTTTTGATGTCTTCAACCAATCCTACAGCAGAAAGGGCTTCCTGCCTTTGATCATGGAAAGATGTAACATTGAATAAAAAACAGTACTAAGAACAGCCTTCACCAAACTGGTACCCTTCGTCTGTGTTGATCTTACAGGATTGGTAGCCCAATGTACCTGGACCAGGTTGAAGAAGACTTAAAGCAGGAATCTTCTTGCACTCTGTATTTCAGTCCCCATATCTGCCTCTACTCCCTCTATCCTTTTCACCCTCCACTCTGGTTTTCTTCCCCTTGTCTTCTCCTTTCGTTATGTTCTTTGCAAATGTCTTCCTCCCCCCCTGTCCCCCCGTCAATGGAAGAAGCTAGAAAAACAAAAGTCTGTATTTTCTTTAAGTTTTGACAGATTCAAGATGAATTTTGAGGATGCGGGTCCTACACAGTGTAGAATTCTTTCACCCATAACTAATTAAATAAATGTAATTAAAAATCCTGCAATGTATCCCAGGTTGCTTAGCAACAACTGTCCTGTTCCATTATTATTCTGCTCTCTGAGGTACAATGGATCTCATTACGGTGTGTGGCAGCATTGAATGAATTCCACTTCTCACCTAAATATTGGAATTTTCATAGTTTTTATTGAATGTTTGAAGATTCTTAAAAAAGGGTCAGTGTTTACACAACAGAGTTTGTTCAATCTTATTTTTTCTTAGTTTTGGCTTCCCTTGTTTTCCAGAATTATAAGAATTTACGTCCCAAACGAATGTATAGGAAGCACATTTTTTCAGATCCCAAAACAATTTAAAAAGAAAGTCCATAAATTCATCTAATTCATATGATATTAGCCAGCACATTTAGCATAAAACAACTTTATCAAGCCAGTTGGATTTCTGGGTCAAATCATCCCATTCAATTTAGATATATTTTCTGTGCATCTGTTTGCTATGTGTGTCCTATTGACTGCAGCCTATTGTCAATTATTTTTTCTAAACATTTGTAGAAAACATTAGTTAAATGTACTATAACAAAAATGATAAAAACAGAAAGGAATCTAGAGATTGCCAAATAAAAATTGATCAGATAAACCACCATCAAATCCTTCTCAAGTTCCCAAGTTAGTGAGAATCTAGCTATTACAAGTACTAAAAACTTAAACAAGACTTGTTAGCCTTTGAAAGCTGGTAGAGGGATTTGAAATTTTGAAAATGCATTGCAGGCACTTATGAAAGCTGCTGCAGAGGAGAGGGAGAATTTATCCATATAACAAAGTGAAGATCTTAGGACAGTGATGGCTAACCTTTTGGTCATTGCGTGCTGACAGCATGCATATGCACGCACCCATAATGCAATGCGCACACCTGAACAACCCCGTGCTCCCCTTGCATGTGCACACGACCCCCCCACATGCACCCTGCCCCTGTGCATGCGTGCGTGATCCCCACACATGCACATGTGGCCCCCCAAACCCCATACATGTGTGCGCATCTCTTGCATGTGCCCCACTCCCCATGCATGCACAGCAGAGATCTAATAACCAGCTGGCAGTGGGAGGCATGCGCGCATGCACGGTGAAGCTGAGCTGGAGCGATGACTTGCGTGCCTGCAGAGAGGGCTCTGCGTGTCACTTGTGGCACACGTGCCATCAGTTCGTCATCACAGTCTTAGGATCTTCAGATCCTTTGCAAGGCAGAGCTGAGGATTACGTCCAATTCCTCGCGGATAAAGTTGCTCGGCTTCGGGTGGACCTGGACTCCAATTGCGAAGAACAGCTGAGGCACCAGGGGAGAATCTGGCAGGACATCACTGGATTGATTTTCAAGCTGTTACCCCTGAGGACGTGGACAAGGCCATTGGAGCTGTGAGTGCCTCCACA